GGATCCTGCCCAGTCCCCCCCAGAACCGGTGCAGCAGCTGAGCAAGGAGGGTTTTGGGGCGAGCAGCCCTTCAGTGGGGCCTGGCTCCTTCACACCCCCCTCACCCTCAGTTTTGGCTTATCCATATTTCTCAAACTGTTTTACTCAGGTCTTGGAGTGTGAAATAGGAAGAGGGGAGAGCTGTGATGCAGGAGAGGCAGGAGAAAGCTCAGGAGAGCTGAACTGAGCCGGGACAGCTGTGCCATGGCCCTGCTGGCATCATGCTTGGCACATCAGCACCTCTGGCACTGGCTGGGACTTGTGTGGAGCTGTGAGTCCAGCTCTGCCCAGAGCATCCATCCCTTCTGCTTGGGAGATGAAGGCAGGGAAAGCAGGAGCCCCTGGAAGGAGCAGGACACTGGGATTTGTGGTTTTTCTTTCTCTGCTCCCTGTGGTGTTTTCACTCTCCCACAGTTCCCTTTCCAGGCTGTTGCTCCCAGCACCGAGTTTCCATGAAGCATAGCCCTGCTCCACCATCCCCATCGCTGCCCTGCCCTGGGATGCTCCCAACAGGCTCCAGTTGCATCCAGGATCCCCGAAACCACCAGGAGGGTGACCCTGAGCTCAGCCTGGTGAGCACCAGTAGGGTCAGAGCCCCCAGCTAGGGAGTGGCTTAGGGCCACCTCACTCCTCCTGCCATCCCTGGATCTGGAGCTGCTCAGACCACGAGGAACAGCCCTGTGACCCTGCCAGGAGTTTGTCACCCCCCCAAAACAGCCTCTTGGTGTTGGGGGATCCCCGAAGGTCGCGGCTGCTCCGCAGCCTCTCCCGCTGCCCGTGCCCAGCACGTGCTCATGGCCGGGGAGGGACGTGGGACAGAAGGGCTTTGTCAGCTCCTCACCCCAATCCCGCTGGGCCTTTGTCCACCAAGACACACAAACCCTCCCTGTCTTAAATTGCATCATTAATTACACAAATGAGGCCCTTGTGCTTGGCACGGCCCTGCCGGACCCAGCGACGCTCCGGAGCTGCTCGGGACAACCCCTTCCCATTCACAGCAGTGTTCCTACTTACTGATGTGAAATTCCCTTTTTTCAGTGCACCCAGGACATAAATACTCATGTTTTGAGGGTTTAAATCCTCAAACAGAGTTTGCTGCTCCCTGGGGTGGGTGGATGTGGCCAGGGGAAGACGCTCCGGTCCCATCCATCTCCCCGGCAGCCAAGGAATTATTTCAAATGTCCAAGGCCAGGCTGGATGGGGCTTGGAGCAACCTGGGATAGTGGAAGGCGTCCCTGCCCATGGTAGGGAGGTGGAACAGGATGAGCTTAAAGGTCCCTTCCATGCAGCTGTGAATTTAGGGAATGTTTAAGGAAAACTCTCTTCCAACCACTGTGCTGGCAGGCACTCGAGGGCAGGGGAAGAAGATAAAAAACATAATAATAGTAATAGTAATAATAATAATAATCTCTTCCAAAGTCTCTGTACACAGACATGAGGTATCCATAGCATTTCCAGCACCACAGCTGGAACCATCCCAGCACCAGCCCCCACCCCACAGCATCTGTGCTAAATCCTGCCTGGATGGATGGATGGATCCAGGGAGTGAGAAGGAGGGGGCCCAGGCACCTGCTGCCCCCAGGGGTGGGCAGGGGCTGCTGGCATCACAAACTTAATGCCCTTTGCCAGACTCTGCGCCTGCAGAGCTGCAGCTTTTTTAATGTAACCACCTTAAAAAATATAAATCCTATGTGGGATCTCCCTGGAACGATCCCGGGATCCCTCTCAGTCCGAGCTGGTGTCGTGGCGCTGCCTGACCCCGCGGGATGGGGGGGTCCTGCTCCTGCTCCTCTTCCTGCCCCTGTGCCTCGGGGACGGGTGGTGGCTGCGGCTGTCCCTGTCCCTGCTCCGGCTCCGCTTCCGCCCGGAATGCCGCCCCGAATCCCTGCTGCTCCCAGAGGAATCCGTGTCGTGCCGGCGTCGGCTGCTGTGCCGCGATGTCTCCGAGTGCTGATGTGTTTTCCTTCGGTGGTGCCTGCGGGGAGAGAAGGGTGAGTGACAGCAGGGACACCGGGGACACCTACAAGGTGATTCTGGAGGTGAAAAAGGGATTTTGGTGTGCCAGACCACATGGCTTTCCTAAATCCTTCATCCCATTTTCCAGTAGTGATGCCCCAAGACCAGGGCTCAGCCCCCAGCCCAGCTCATACCTCTTTTCCCGATCTGGAGAAGAATCGGACGACGATGGGGCAGTGTCCTTCTTGGGATGCTTGTCCTTGTCTTTCTTCTTCTCCTTCTTATGTTTCTTCTTTTTCTTCTTCTTTTTCTCCTTTTTGGATTTTTTGTTGCTCTCTGGTCTGCAGGGAAGAGATGAAGCACTGAGAATGCCTGCCCTGTACATCCCTCTGGCTCCTCCAAAAACTCATCCTCATCCCTCCCTCCAGGCACATCCCACCACATCCCTTGGCCAAGGAGAAAACCACAGAAATAAAAAACAACAAAGGGGTTTTGGGGGGAAAGCAGAGTTTTTCAGGCAGATGCAGAATAAACCCGATGCCGAAGGGAGCCATGGAAGCATTTTGCAAAATATTCCCTGCAAAAACCAGGCCATTTCAAGTGGTTTCCTACCAAAGTGGGAAAACTCACCGTTTCTCCTCCACTTTCTCTTCCTTCTCCTGCTTCTTCCTGGAGCCAGATGTCTCAGGGCTGCTGGAGACTTTCTGGTGCTAGGGTTGAAGAGGGGAGGAAAACAGGGAGCAACTCCATGAGCCCATAGCTTTGAATTACAAGAAAAAGGGATTTTTTTCCCCCTTTAAAAGTTAAATTTGAAAAAAATGAAATAAAATTAAATGAAATCTGGGAGAAAAATTAAAGCCCCACAAATTAACTCAGGAGACAGGGAGCTCCTGCAGGTCTCCGTGCTACAACGCCCAGGTTGGTTTCTAAATAAATATTTAAATATTTTAAATTAAAATATTCCATTTTTTTGCCTTTTTCCACCTCTCTTTTAACCTCCCAAGGACAACACAACCAGTGCTGTACCGTGAAGACAGAGAGCCCCATCTTGGCCGCCTCCTTGTCCTCCTTGGAGAGCATCACCCGGCCGGCACTGCCACTGTGAAGAGACCACACAAAAAAAAGCTTAAAAAAGGTAAAATCAAAAAATCTGATTGCCCAGGAATTGGTGTGGGATCCCCCCGTGTCTCTCTCCATACCTGGAGCTGCCCAACCCCACCACCCGATCCACATCCTTGTCGTCCCGCTCGGCGCCCTCTCGTTTGCAAACCTCAGCCAGGTCCTGTGGGAAGGGGAGGGGAAAGAGTGTCCTGGCCGTGTCCCCCCTCCCAAAAAAGAGCCAAGGGGAGGGGACACCCCCCAGGGATGGGGGGGGACACACGCTGCCCCCATTACCTCCTTGCTGAGGCCCGTGGGCTGCCTCTTCACGTTCTTGTAGCCCCTACAAAAACAGAAGCGGGTGATGCGTGTGGGGGAGAGGCTTTGCACCCCCTGTTTTTGGGGTGTGTTTGGGGGGGGGGGGGGGGGGACTCACAGTGCTGCCATCATGGCCTCCTGCTCGGCCAGGCGGACGGCAGCCAGCTCTTCCTCCCGGGATAACGGCGGGGCCGTGTCCTTCTTGCCCTTGGCGTACCAGGTCAGGTCCTTCCCCTTCTGCCAGCGCCCCACCGGCGCCATCAGCGAGTTCCCTGTGGGGAGAAACACCCCCAAAAACCTCCACCTGCACCCTAAAACCACACTGGGGTGAGCAGAGAGGGTGGATTTGGGCAGGACCAGCCCTTACCCAGGTAGTTCTCGCGCTGTTTGTCCGTCTTCACATCCTCCCAGCTGAACTGGTCCTGGCCCCCCCGGACCCCGCCCCGGGACGAGCCGAACATGGTGCCAGACCCCACAGCAGATCTGGGGAGGGGTTGGTGACCTGCAAAAAGGATTTACCCGCCCTGGGTCCCCCGTGCAGCCCTGGGGAGGCTCCTGGATTTGGGGGAAGCAAATGTTGCCCCCCAAGGGTGGGTGGGGGAACCAAAGCCTTGGTTGTATAACCCTGAGGTGGGGCGTGCGTGGCCTGTAGGGGGACTCACGGCCTGGGAGGGGGTTGCAGGGTGAGGTTCGGGGCTGGAAGGGGAGGAGTTTATGGACTGGAGGTGTTCACTGTCTGGGAGGGGGTTGTGGTCTGGAGGTGGGGGGGGGTTACAGGGTGGTGGGAGGTTTCAGGGCTGGAGGGAGGGGGCGCTCGGGGGGGGGAGGGGGGACGCAGGGCCAGAAGGGGGGGGAGATCACAGCCTGGGGGGTAATCGTGATCTGGCAGGGGGTTGTAGGGCCAAGGTGGGGCAGGAGGGTCAGGGGCTATTGAGGGCTGGAAGGAAGGGGTGGTCAGGGCCTGGGACAGGGTAATTACAGGTTTGAGCGGTTGGGGAGGCAGTTACACGGCCTGGAGGGAAGATCGTTGCACGGCCTGGGGACGGGGGCGGTTCATCGTCTGTGGGGACAGTTCCAGGGTCTGGGAAGGGGTTGAAGGGCCGGAATGGGGAAGGGGGGTGAGGAGAGTTCATGGCCTGGGGAAGGGGTCTGTGTTTGGGAGGGGGTTGCAGAGTCGAGGGGGAGGTTGTTCACGGCCTGGGGGTGGTTCAGGGTCGGGATCTGGGAGGGGGTTCCGGCCTGGTGAAGTCACAGGGCCTGTGGGGCTGCAGGGCCTGAGGGGGGGGGGTGCTCGTCCCGGGGGCGTGTGAAGCACCCGGGGGGGGGGGGGCCCCTCCCCCGGCATGGGGGGAGTGCGAGAAACAGGCGGGCGCGACCCGCGGGGTCACACACGGACCCTCCAAACCCCCCCAAATTCCCCCAATCCGCCGCCGCTCCCCTCACGCACCTCCGGCCGCCGCGCGCGCCCGCCCCGGCGCTACCACCGCGGGCACGGGCGGGGGGGGGACGGGCCGGGCGGTACCACCGCCCGCCCAGCGCGGGGGGAGCTCCGCGGAACCGCGCCGGGACCACACGGCTTTGGTTGTTGGTTGGTTGGTTTGCTTGTTTATTTATTTATTTATTCTGCGTTCACTTCTTCCAAAACTTCTTGTAGGTCTCCAGGTCGATGCCCTCGAAGGTCTCCTCGGTCTTGGGCTTGGGTTTGCCGGGGAACTGCCGGCGCAGACGGGCCCTGCGCTCGGCCTCGGGCAGCGTGGTGCTGTCCAGCGGCAGCTGGGGACATGGGGACACAGCATGAGACACCGGGACGCAGCGGGAGACACAGGGACACGGTGTGAGACCCACCCCAGGACATGATGCAAGACCCCTGGGACATGGTATGAGACCCCAGGATGTGATGTGAGACCCCAAAGACATGACATGAACCTCCTGGGACATGGTGTGAGCCCCCCAAACACAGGGCATGAGCCCCAGGACACAGCATGAAACTCTGGGACACAGCACAAGACCTTGGTGGGCATGACATGAGCCCTGGGGACACAGTGTGAGACCCTTGGGACATGGCATGAGCTCCCCAGGACAAGGCATGGCCCCCCCAGGACTACAGGGTGACACCCTGGGAACAAGGTGTGAGATCCCAGGGACACAGAATGAACCCTCTGGAATATGCTGTGAGCCTCCAGGGACGTGGGGTGAGACCCCAGGACATGGTGAGAACCCTCTGGGACAAGGTGTGAGACCCTGGGGACACAGTGTGAGCCCTGTGGGACATGGCATGAGACCTCAGGACATGGTGTGAACCCTGTGGGACATGAGGTGAGTCCCTGGGGACACAGTGTGAGCTCTGTGGGACATGGTGTGAGACCCTGGGGACATGGGATCAGCCCTGTGGGACACAGTGTGAGCCCTGTGGGACGTGGCATGAGACCCCAGGAGATGGTGTGAACCTTCAGGGACATGGGATCAGCCTTGTGGGACACAGTATGAGCCCTGTAGGACATGCCATGAGACCCCAGGACACAACACGAGCCCCTCAGGACATGGTGTGACCCCCCTGGAACACGACACGAGTCTCCCGTGCCCACCCTCGCCCCCATCCTGCCCCATCTCCCTCCGTCCCCGTACCATGAGGATCCTCTTGGGCTCCTGGTAGCGCAGGCGGGTGGTGGAGCCGTCGGTGCCCACCAGCAGGACGGGGTAGAGGCGCCCGTAGTGCTGCCGGTGCAGGTGGGACACGGAGGCGCGGTTGGAATTGCTGCGGGTGGAGGCGGCCAGAGGGAGCCGGGACACGGCACAGGGGTACAGGACACTGTGGGAACAGGGACACACGGGCAGGTGTCACCGTGGGGGTGATGTGAACCTCCGTCCCACAGCACAGACCTGGTGCTGTCCCAGGGGGTCCCAGACCCCACACGCTCACCTCAGGGCCCGGCTCGCGGCCATCCCAGCACAGGTGGGAGACTCGGGACCCCCACGGAGCACACGGAGCAGGGGACACAGCCCAGGGACACCCTGGGGACAAGGAGAGAGCTCCTGGGGTGACACTGGTGTTCCCATCACAGGGAGAGCCTCAACATCCCTTCCCCGTCGCAGCTTCTGGCAGGGTTTGGCTCTGCTATGGCTTCCCCCCCCCCCATAATGGTTCGGCCCCGCTTCCCCCCATCCCGATAATGGTTCAGCCCACGACCTCCACCCCGCGCCCCCATCATGGTTCAGCCCCCACCATGTCCCCCTCCTCATAATGGTTCAGCCCCACCACGTCTCCCCCCTAACCCCATAATGGTTCAGCCCCAAACTGTTTCCCCCTCATCGCCATAATGGTTCAGCCTCACCACGCCTCCCCCCGCCCCGCAATAGTCCAGCCCCGACTCCCCACACCCCCCCATGGTCCCCCCCCCCCCCTTCCCCCCCCCCCCCACATCCCCTCATGGTTCAACCCCATCCCCGCTCACCGCCCTCCCCCCGCCCGCTCGCGCCCTTGGTCCGTCCCGCCGCCGCGGCCGCGCGCTCCGCCCGGCCCCGCCCCCGCGGTGACGTCACGGGACGGTGGGCGCGCGCGCGCGCGCGCGGGGGCTGCCGGGATCCGCCCGCCCCCCCCCATCCCCTCATGATCCACGGGCGGATGCGCGGGGCGGGAATCGCCCGGGCGGGTGAGCGGGGACGGGGAACACGGGCTGAGGGGGCACGGCCGGCCCCGGGGGTGCCGAGACCCTCCGGGGGATCCTGGTCTGAGGTGGATCGTGGGAGCTCAGTCCCTCACAAGGGCCTTGGGCTGAGGCGGCACAGGCGGCCCCAGGATGCTCAGCCGCTCACGGGGGCCCCTTTTCTGAGGGGGCGCGACCACCCCCGGGTGCTCAGCCCCTCACGGGGGTTCTGCGCTGAAGGGGACCAGGGTGCTCAGCTCCTCACAAGGACCTTGGAATGAGGGGTCCCGGGGTGCTCAGCCCCTCACATGGACCTTAAAATGAGGGGTCCAGGGGAGCTCAGCCCCTCACAAGGATCTTGGAATGAGGGGTCCCGGGGTGCTCAGCCCCTCACAAGGGCCTCAGGCTGAGGGGACACAACCGCTCCTGGGGTGCTCAGTCCCTGGGCTGAGGGGTCTTGGGGTGTTCAGCCCCTCATAGGGTCCTGGCCGGTTCTGGGGTGCTCAGCCCCTCAAGGAGCCTTGGTTGAGGGGTCCCAGCCTGCCATGGGGTGCTGAGCTTCTCATGGGGGTCCTCAGCCCCTCATGGGGGTCCTGGGGTGCTCAGCCCCTCACAGGGACCCTCAGCTGAGGGGTCTCAACCAGCCCAGGGTGCTCAGCCCCTCACAGGATCCCTGTGCTGAGGGGCCCTGGGGTGCTGATCCTGCCCCAGGACCCCCTGGATGAGGGGTCTGATCCCCATCCCTGGGGATGCTGAGCTCCCTGTGGCCTCCTGCCCGTGCCCCGTTATCCATGTGGGCTGGCTGAGGGAGGCTGGGATACACCACCCTGGGCTGGTGTATCCCCATCCCTGAGCTGGGATATCCCTGTTCCCACTTAGATAAGCCAGACAGGGAAGTGCACGTGGAATCAGTTCGGTTTGTGGGATGCAGTGAGGTAAGAGAGGGGGTTTGGGATAAGCATCCTCCGTGTATCCAAAATCAAAGCCCTGCTTGGGGAGGTGGCTGGTGAAACCACAGCGGGGTGAGCCTCACCTCTGCAGAGGTTCATCCAGGTGGGTAAACTGGTTCCAACCAGTGGGTGGGTTAAACTGGTCCAGTTTGCAGCAGAGCACGGTGCTGGAATCACTGGCCTGGACCTTGGAGATTCCTGCAGTGACCTTGAGCAGGTGGTTTGTGTTCACTCTGCAGCATCGCTGCTGCCTGCGAGCCAGCAGTGCCCACGGTGCAGCCAGGGGAGGGGCTAATTAGTGCTTATTAGCTAATTACTTCCGGGAAAAAGGTGCCTGAGCACCTGCCAGCTCCCTGCTGCAGTGGGATGCTGCTCATGGAATCACAGGATGGGGAAAGTTGGAAGGGATCAACCTCCCTGCTCCTGTTTCAGTGCTGCACATAACTCCCTGTCTCTTTGGAAATAATCCCAAATTTTAGAAAGGTGGGAGTGGCATCTTTTTAAGGAACCTGCTAAAAATAGGCAGCAGGTTTATAATCCTAATCCAGGAGACCTTTCTCAAGGCTCCAGGGAAACTGCTTTAATCTTCTTTTCTTCTTTGTGAAGGGGCTTTGCCTTCCTTGCAAAGCCTCTCTGCTAATCAGCATTAATTAGTTTAACTCTTGTGATGTCTGTCCTTTGCTTTCCTGGTTGTGTTGCTGCCTCCCAGGTAAAATCCAGGGTGAGTTTAGCAGGCAGGAGCAGACCAGGAAACATTCCTTGATTTAGGGACAACCTCCTGTGTGCTCCTTCAGTGACCACCTCATCTTTTTGCAGCCCAGAGGTGTTAACAGGGCCATTTGTCCTCAGTCCCAGGTGTGAGACCTCCCCAGATATTAATTAAATAATTAATTAGTCATGCTGTTCTCTGGCTGATCAGCTTCCTGGTGGTTTTGGTGGGTTAGGCTGGATCCAAACCCATTTTTAGGAGACCCTCAGTGCTGGGTGTTTGCAGATTGGCTGCTCTGAAAATGCCAAAACCTGAGCAAAGGATAAAAAACCCCCAGACATTCTGCTCAAAATAAATCCATCTTTGTGGTGTTCCTGCCGCAGATGGCTTGGAAATGGGATGCATGGATGCATTCCTGGGCTGCAAACCAAACAGGAGGTAGAAAAAGCCCCGTATCCATCAGATCTTGGGCCTTTTTTGATGCTTTACTTGTGGGTTTTGAGGGCTGTGGGGTGGGAGGAGCTGCTTTGGCAGAGCTGTGGGTCCAGGGAATGAGGGCAGGGACACAGTGCTGAGTGGCCCTTCCTTGAGAGTGGATTTGCCCTGGGAAGCTGCAGCTGCCCCGTCCCTGGAAGTGTCCAAGGCCAGGCTGGATGAGGTTTGGAGCAACCTGGGCTAGTGGAAGGTGTTCCTTCCTGTAGTAGGGGATGGAATGAGATGTGCTTTAAGGTCCCTTCCAACCCAAACCATTCCAGGATTCTATGAAATTCCCAGTTTGCTGCCCACGAGGGCCCAGCCCCATCACCTGGGAGTGGGAATGGCTTTTGTTCCCTCTCAGTTAAGACCTGTTTTCCTCTGCAGATTCCAGCAAAAGATGAGGGATCCGTGAGGGAGGCAAGAGGAAGCACCTGCAACTCCCTTCTTGGTTTAATTTTAGCCTGTTTTCCAAGGAAGTGAGACAAGTGATCACACCCAGGTGCCTTTTCTCACTTAGTTGTGAGTATTTTTAGGGAAAAAAAAAAAAAGGAGTGAGGTCAAGGAGAGGATCCCAGTATGGATGTGCTGGGACACGGTTTGGATCTGTGGGCAAGAGGAGGAGTTTCCCTGGTGCCTTTGTGGTCCTTGGCCTGAGGTGAAGCAGTGGCTGGAGGTGACAGCCACGTGTGGATTTGGTCCAGAGGAACTGCACTGCCTGCAGAAGGAAGTGCCTGGAAGTGTCCAAGGCCAAGTTGGACAGGGCTTGGAGCAACCTGGGATAGCAGAAGATGTCCCTGCCCATGGCAGGGGCTTGGAACTGGATGAGCTTTAAGGTCCCTTCCAACCCAAACTACGTGCAGGTGAAATCCTTGTCCCTTTATGCTGGTAACTGTGAGGTCACCTGCAGGGACAGGGACAGTTTTCCTGTTTCCCATAATCCCAGGCCAGCCCCCCTCAGCCTTCTGGGGCTGTTGGATGCAGCTTTGCCAGGTGGGAGAGCAGGGAGCGGAGGAGGATCCACGAGGGCAGATTAAAGCCCAGTGGGTGGCTCTCATTGGCCATCTTAAAATTACAGCTCGTTAATTAAGGCTTTAGGAGCTCACAAATAGCCCAGCTCCGTGTCCTGAGCTCATCTCTGCTCCCAGGGACTGGACTGCATTCCTTGGCTGGAGGGGAGCAAAAGGAAAAGGTAAGGATGCCTTGGAACCTGCTCCCAGCCCATCCCTCCGACCCCTTTCCTGTTTGGAGTTGAATGAAATGACTGGAAGTGATTTGGGCAGCTTAAAATTCCTGTTTTTTCTCTCCATGCCTGCTCAAGGGCAGGTGAAATTTTGAGGTGGGAGCGGGCAGAGGAAAGCTCTGTTCCCTCTAGCTGGGATCTAGGACTGGGAATTGTGCATCTGGAACAGTTCTTGTTGGCACAGCTGGATCCCCCCCCTTGGAAGGGAAGCTGTGAAACAGCTGGACAGGGTCTCTGCTGCCATCCCAGTGTCCCATGTGGAGCTTTCCAGCTGTGTGATGAAGGAACATTATTGTTTGGGAGCAATGCTGTGAAGTGCCTTGAGGTGTTGAATTTCTGGGGTTCCTTCCTCTTTTGGAGTGTTTTCCAAGGAATGCTTAGGGCTCACCTGATTTATTGATGTGGAAGAGAGGAACTGTGAGGGGCAGAAGAGAGGGAAATGCTTTGGATAACTCCTCAGGGATCCTCTGCTTCCTTGCTGCAGGCACTTTGTTGGTCCTTTTTCCTCTTCTGGTATTGAATATGTAGGCAAAACCTGTGACATTTGGAAATCACCAAAATTCAGGGATTAAGGGAATGGTGAGAAGGCCCCCAAAAGGGCTTCCTGGAGCTGGTGTTTTTTGGACGATGGAGCTTAATCCAGCAACGTGGTGATGGGACTGATCCTCCAGGATCCCTGGAGAACGTTTGATCTGATGGATCTCTGGGGCAAAGGAGGGATTTCCTTATGGATAATTATTCCCTGTGGATGTTTAACTGCCCACGCTGCTGCTGCCCTTGGCACCTGCTTAGACTTTGAATATCCCAGGTCAGACAAGTGTCCTCAGGGAACAGAGGGAGAAGTTGTGTCACTCCCTGGCTGTTGTGCTGCCTGCTGGAGGGATTTAGGGATAAGGAGGTGTCCAGGCCGGGGTCAGGGAGGCAGCCAGGGCTGGATTAGCTGCTTTGGTGAGACAGCACTTGGCTTAAGGCTGGTTAAAAAGTGAGCTGGAAGGTCAGGCTGACATTGCTGTGAGCTAATTTCAGATGGAAAGGCATTACCTGCCCCGGGGCTGGTTGCTCCCCAGGCCACACCCAGCCCAGGAGGTTAAAAAACCTGCTTTTCCAGGGATTTT